GTCCCCCCTCCCTCTCGGCTTTGTGCCACTTTTGTGTTCCTCTTCCTTTCTGTGAAGCACGAAGTCAACTGAAGGGCTAATAATACCTATCATAACGCCTGCCATTTGAAATAAATAAATAATTATTGAATAGATGCCACCATGATATCCATGAACGAGGATGCTTAAAGTCATTCTTTTAGAGGGAACAGAATTCTGCTAACATATTTTTTGTCAATATTTTAAAGCTGACGGGATGGAAGTTGATAAAGCGTGTCTTCTCAACCATTCGAAGGAGAAATGAAATGATAAAGGCAGTTAGCATCGAACATACTCCACTAGGATTAGCTGCAGTCCAGAGGGTGAATTACGAACTTCGAATCGTGCAGTGTGAACGTACAGTCTCAGTCCATTGAGCTCATTCAGAGCGCAACAAATGAGAAAGCAGTGAAGAGATACAGGGTAAAACCATGACATCGAGGAGTCTTACATCATTCGATTTCTTGAAGTTATCTTTGGACTAATCAGCTAATGAGCTACTTGATTTCAAAATTTATCAACTTGCTAACGGTACGAATTCTTGTCCACGATGTCCAATACTTAAAATAGTTTGTTTCCACTGGAGACTAAGAAAATGGAGTGATCGTTAATGATATTAAACTACGCACATTTTCGGCTATCCTGCCACTTTATTAGAAATTATAAGTATTAAATACTTTAAAATTTAATAATTTATTAATTGGTTGGAAAGATAGATGAATTCTCTCTTTTCTCGCTTTTGTGATAAACTTATAATACTTCGTATTTCATTTACGCCACATCAATTTCAAATGAACCAATCGTCTTTCACTAAATGCTATCGATCGATGTTTAAAACAAATCGCATGAATACCTCTTATTTTCCTACTAGGCTCAAGGAAAAGAAGTGAAAAATGGTGAAATTGTAAATGCATTCCATTTAAGATTTCCCTTAGCACAAAAGTACAGTGACACAAAGCACCCATACTCTTAGAGAGTGGATTAGAAGTAAACCATCATAGAAGGAACGGTGGAAAGAAAGTGAAAGAACAGCATCTATCGTAGAAAACAGAATACTTAATTTGTCAAGAGTGAGGCATAGAGAGAGAGAGAGAGGGGGGGGGAGGACTAGACCGAAGTGCTTTCAGGTCTTCGAAAAGCTTCTGGAGTACCAAACTACGAAAAAATCTGTACTTCAATTAAAAGTACAAATAGATTTGTTCCCACATTATAAGACACCAACACTTCTCCCTTGTCGACATGTGTGTGGGGGTTTATAGTGAAAGGATCTTCAGTGCCGAGTGTCTGGCAACCAGTCACTTGTGCAAATACCAGAAGTGTCTGTCTCGAATTATCTTATTACTATCTGTTCGTAACTTCGATTTTGGTGAAAAACAGACAACCCTGTTCCCGTAAAATCGGCTTTTAAAACGGAAGAGGAAGGTTTACGCATATTTTGGGTGGGTTGTAACGTAATGTCTTTCTAGAAGTGGGCTTTAAATGCAGTTAGTCAGTTCTCGGATAGGAAAATTGTTGTTTCGTTTATAATTTGCCTGATTGCTCACTTTAGGGAGCTACAAATACTCAAGCATGAGGAAGATATGGGAAGGTGGTGGTTTCACATATCCAATTCTGAGCGTTGAGGTCAGACGTCAGTGGGAGGTGTAATGTACGAGTACACGGTATGTGATCTTAGTGTTCCCCAATGATGCCCCCCAAAAATATTATTATTGTTATATCAAATGGCAGGCGTCTTGATGGTTATCATTAGCCCTTTAGTTGACTTCAGGCTTCACAGAGGGGAAGGAACCTGTAGCTGACTTCGGGGCTTCACAGAGAGGAGAAGAAACATGGAGCTGACTTGGGGGTTTTGAAAGTTATCATTAGCCCTGGAGCTGACTTCGGGGCTTCACAGCAGAGATAGGAAGGTACATCCAGTTGACTTCAGGCTTCACAGAGTGGAAGAAACATCAAAGTGTGACTTCAGGCTTCACAGAGGGGAGGAGGAACATCAAAGTGGAAAAAAGTCGAAAGTGGGGGGGGGGAGGAACAGAAAAGTGTTTCAAAGATGTAGAAGAGACGGACACAAAGGTAGAGAAAAGGAACATCAAACTGAAAAAAAGTTGAGAGGGGGGGGGAGAACAGAAAACTGTTTTAAAGATTTAAAAGAAAGAGTGAGAGAGAGAGAGAGACAATGGTAGAGAAAAGGTGAGGTGAGTACTGTGAAGTATTCGAATATTGCATATAGTGGGGTTGTGGTAGTTTGAAGTCAGAAGTCAACTGTCGATTAACAGACTTTTTGCGTATGAGTATACGTTGCCCAGGGTGCACCACGTGGAGGTAAGTCTATCACGCACCCTCCCCCCCCCCCCCAAAAAAATATAGAATTTGACGTTCTTGGAGCTGCCTTGTTTGCTATTCAAAATTCTAAGTCCGAGTAGCTTTAATGAAAATTAAATCTGGCTTCCCATATTACTGTGATTCGACAATATTTGCCTGAATCTTTCTAGTTGGGAAGGACTTAGGAAGAGTTGGAGGCTTATCGGTGTATATTGCTTGTCGTAGACAGCCTATAATCTTTATATGTTGCTAGGGGGGTTGGGTGGGGTGGGGGTGGGGGTGGAAGGAGGTATTATAGTCCCTTAAAATGAGCAAAATAATACTTACTTAACCTTGGTATCTCAAATGTCTGGTGGCATGATAAACTCACTTTGAGACAAGGTGATTCGTGCGAAATTGTTCTCCCCTTCTGTCGTCAAGTGGTTCTCATTCGCCAATTGGAATAGTCACGATTGACACAAGCAAAGTGAGTTCGTTTTGGGGACATTTTGGGTTCTCTTCGATATTTTAAAATCACCTTCATGTTTAAAACACTGTCTAAATTGTCCGTTATGCCTCTCGAAAGAAGAAGGGAAAGTCCCATGTCTACCCTTACCTTTTTCTCACAACTCAGATTGTCTTTGTTCGGTACTGAAGACTTTCGCGTTGAAACCAATTCATCTACCCACCCCCTCCTTCAATTCATCGTCATCATGACTTGTCATTTGTTCAGTATACATATCGGCTTTGGTCCTGCCTCGGCATTGGAGTGTATTCTATTGTCACATGAAGATGAATTGTGCAAAAATTTATACCTCCTAATGAAATTAAAGAGGTTTTTTTTACAGAAACGTAATGGCTTCATTATTAGTATCAAATAGTAATTCTACAAACCTCGGTTGCTTATGCACTTTCTGAATATGCGAGTCTGTTCCCCTTATCTTCGAAATCGCCGAATTACGCGGAATCATGTGACATGACAGTTGAAATTAAATGTCAAGAAATTTTTCCTCTTAGCGATTTCAATTTAAAGACAAAATGTGCTAATATGGATGAAGAGGATGATTATTTGCACCCACGTTTTTCTCAAAATGTGAAAAAGATTGTATTTTTTTGTTTCATTTCCTAGAGAAGGCCAAAGTAATCATACTGAATGTCATCCCAAAATGTCACGATATTGAATTTGGTCGGTGAAATTCAGTTCGGTTGATAACCATTCCTCACTGGATCAACCGAATGTGTGTAAAAGTAGAAAACGAAAAACTTCGTGTGAGTAATGCTTATTAGAATCACCGAACGTGTATATTTTTTGCCTTCTTAAAGGTCACCGAAATCATCGTTATCCTGACTTATGGTAGTTGAATTTCTCGAATCGAAGTCAACTGCCGATTAATAGACTTTTTGCCGTATGAGTACACGTTGACCAGGGAGCACCACATGGAGGTAAGTAAGTCTATCGCACAACTCCAGACGCCACTGTATGTCATATTCGACCACTTCCACAGTACTCAACTTACCTTTACTCTGCCTTTGTATCTGTCTGTCTCTTACATCTGTGAATCACTCTTCTGTTACCCCTCTCGACTTTTTGTGCCTTTGATGTTCTACCTCAACTGAAGGGCCTGCCATTTGATATAAATAAAGTTCTGTGACACATTTGTCGAATAAACCAGCAGGATTTTGAAAGTGGGTAATGTCTCTCTCCGGTATCACTCAGTAAAACGCTATTCCAAACCGATTAATCATTACTTAATTGAGATAGAAGGTTAAAACAAATGGCATTATATAAGTCTCCCTTCTCAGTGTTCTTTTGTGAAGAAAATTATCGTTGCTCCTCAAATTGACTTCAAGCACTGTGTTACAACCATGAAATAAATAAATGACATCGAGGATTTTACCCTGATTGATCAAATTTGAAAGATCCTTTGACATTACGGCCTTTCACTTCAAAATGAAAAGCATTAAAGCTTTCAGCTGACAAAGCTATGTCCAGACAACAAATTAATAATCAAAAAGGAATTTTATCGCGATCCCTCATAAGGTTAATTTAAATTGTTCCAAGTAAATACCCTCATTTATTTTACTATTTTAGGATTGATTAAAATACAATATTTCAACAAGACAGACTTTGAAATCACATCTCCATTTAACTCAGTGCAAATTCCTACACGAACCACGATCGATTGGACATAAATGTCCCCCCCCCCACACATCGGACGATACAATATATATATATATATATACATATTTTAGTGTTTTGTTATAACTGGAAAGTCAACTGTTTTTTTTTGTAAGGCTATATACGTAACGGAAAATAGTACTGCTGGCTCAAACACAGTTTTGTTGGTTTTAACCAATAGAATTTGTGCAAAACACCAATTTGTCGGCAAGGGCGTGTGCGCACTTTAGACGTTATGGGGGAAGGCGTGGGGGCAAACAGAAAATCTCCCACCTCTCGAAAGCACGCGTAGTCGTAATTCCGCCTCCAGATTACCGAGACGTGGAAAGAGTGGCAGAGGACCCGAGGTTGCATTGTCCAATGCATCAAAAGGTGAAATCATTGTCTAAACAAACTGGCGGATGATAGTAGAATTTCACCCCTGGCCACGGATCTTTCAGGGACACATCTTGCTCGTTTTCTGGTACTCACGGTGACTCTTGTTTTATTGAGCTCTTTTGTGTTGATGGGGGTGGAAGGTGAGGTGCTGCAACTGGGGCAGCGCAGAACTCCCCCCGACTTCATGATGCGTCTTTACAAATCGATGACAGATGATAGGGGACGGTCTTCGAATCCAGCTCCCTTCTACGCCGATTCTGTTATTGCGTTTCTCGACGAAAGTAAAAAATGTGGTAAAGAAAGTGCTATTAATTCCAATTATGCAATGTCATGTTAAATAAAATAAAATTTGTCTTTTTTCAATCACATTGATATTTCCAATAATTATATATCTATATCCATAGTCGAATTTTAAACGCTAGATTTTTTTAGAATCAAACATGATAAAGCATTACTATTTTAATAGTATTTATACAGTGGGTTTTAAAATATTCACAAAATGATAGTCTACTACTTCGCATTCAAAAATTCAAATTTTCTGAATTTTTCTTCGTTATGAAGTGTTTATTGGTCAATCGATTAACTCGAATCATAATTTTTTACCAATCAACGCAAAGAGCCAGACAATGGAAATTTCGTAGTTCCATGGTGTGGCTTTCAGAACTCATAATACTTTTTTTCTCATTGAAATAAGTTTTAAAAATAAATCGTGATCCCGCTAACTCCAAACACGAATTTCTAAATTTCAATAAATATTCCTCTATTTCCTGTGGTTTTTAAAAGGCAAAATTCTGATTAAACTCAACTACGATTTAATAGCCTTTAAGTACAATTAAAATATAACATTATAACAAAAGATAAATTATGTCAAAATTTCATCAGATTTATTTTCATCGAGATAATTCGTAGATAAACTTTAATTGTTTGTTAAAGCGATAATATTTTTATGCAATTTTAACATGCATCGTATTTAGTTTTTTGGCACCTATTCATTTGAAAACACTGTCATAATTAACTTTAAAATATTTAAAATTATATATATATATAATTTCAAATCACAATCAGACATCCGTTTTTCGAATTCCCCAACACCCCCCCCCCCCACCAATTTCATGTCAGTGAAGTTTCCCACTTTCATACTCGAAGGTGAATGCAGCAGAGACATTGATTTTCAATTAAGAAATGGAATTGAGAACTCAGGAGGACTGTTAAATGACTGAGTGGGTGAAGGTTAGGGGAGTGGGAGGATGGTGGAAGGGTGGGGTGGGGGGAGGGGGGAGGGAGGGGCTTTTTCCCTAAATGTTGAGCCAGTGTGATGGGGAGTGTGATGGCGCCTGATAAGAAAGAGGGAAAGAGAGAATTCACGTCTCACTTTCTTCCTGACTGATGACACGGCATTTATTATTATACTTTTTTTTCGTTTTTGGTTAAACAAAACTTCTTTGACAAATTATCAGAGCCTAGCGAACTCCTCTATATAAAAGAAAAAAAATTCTATAGAGAAGACGTTTTCGGAGGCGGGAAAACTGGAAGTTCTCAATTACTTCCATAGGATAAATTTATCCCATAGGCAACGAGTTGTCTAAATTTGACCGTTATACACTCAGATACAAGGGAGCTAGCAACGAATTGCATCAAATTCGCATCACTGCAAGATGAAATAAAGTAAGTTGTAACTCCATCAATACGTCTTCTAGCAGTTGTGGAAGAGAATTCGCTTTACGGGGATTGGGCCTATCTATCGCGAAAATTTTTATGAAAGCTGAAATTTTTAAAGTTAATAACAATACATTATTATTATTTCAAATGGCAGGCTTTGTGATATTTATCAGCTGATGGGGGTAACAATACATTAGGCCGGCACCTTAATGTAATGCAAATATAAACATATTAATTTTGCCTTCTTTTAGTTAAAAAATATCATAATTTAGACATCTAATAAATTTACTAATAATATCTTGATAAATTGTTTTATCGAATAATTTTTATGCTCATAATTATGGGCTTAAAATTATTTTTTTAGATATTGCAATCAGTAAACAGTGAGGAATAATAAAATTGATGCTTATATGCAAATTAAATTAATTACATGAATAAAAGTATTTTTTATTGCAAATTTTAATATTTGAGCGCTTAATATAAGAAGTGTAATGTTAATTACGAAATACTTTAATTAAGCAAGACATGCATTCAATACAAACAATAAAATTTGAGTAAATTTTAAATCGATACTACAAATATTGTATTAACTTGATCAATCAATAAATTGAATTCCTATGTTTTATTTCAATTTCAGATTCCGTCTTGCCGTACAAGTATTTTTTTAACATTACGCATTTACCCCCAAACACAATACCCACTCAAGCTGAACTCCACCTATACCGAGACATTGGAAGGGATTTCAAACGTGATTCAAATGATTTTAAATCTCAATTTGCCCTTCGAAGAGCCGCGAAACTTTGTTCCTTTATTTTTGTAAGTTTTCTTTTTCGTAGCAAAAAGAACAAAAAAAATCATACGATATGGCAGAAGAGAAGAAACATAGTGGGTGTGTGAAAGACGAAAAATGCATTGAATCATTTTGCGGTGAATTTTATCAAAATTTATTTAATTTTTTCCCAATTTCTAGAAATGTCTATTATATTTACGTGTTATTATTATTGCAAATGGCAGGAGTTTTGAATAGTTATTATTTGCCATTTAGCTGGCTCTGGGCTTCATAGGGGGAGGAACATCAAAGTGAGAAAAATTCGAGAGGAGGAGCAGAAGAGTAATTCACAGATGTAGAAGAGACAGACAGACAGACACAAAGGTAGAAAAAGGTGAGATGAGTACTGTGGAAGTTTTGGAATATGACATACAGTGGGGTGATGGTAGTTTGAAGTCAGAAGTCAACTGTCGGTTTATAGACTGTTTTGCCGTATGAGTATACGTTGCCCAGGGTGCACCACGTGGAGGTAAGTCTATCGCACACATATTTATGTATGAAACCAATCCAATGTCGACAACTTTAATTTCATCTGTGACGATACAAATAATTTCAAAATTTTATTTGTGCTTTTAAGGTTCTTAAACGTTTTAGCGAATGCCTCATAGTAAAAAACGATAATTTTGAATTCTATGAACTAAGGATCTGATTCGGAAGCTTACAGTAGAGCATGTTTCATGAATGAACCGAGTTAAGTTTGGAGAAATTTCCATTGAAAGTCAATTTTGAAGCCTACATCCTTTGTTCAAAAGTCATAGAAACGAGGGTCAAGATGGAATGTTTTAGTGCATTGCATAATGGTCGGGAAAGCAAGAGACGGTTTAAAATGAGTCACAAGGCAACCTTAAGCGAGATAGCGAAAACTCGTGAGATAGAAAGTCAACCCGTCTGTCCGAAGGTCTTTTCCACGGCCTTCCACCGGCCAGTTGTAAGCAAATGTAATGTCGATATATAACATAATATAAAAAATTAGGTTTCGGTAATTGTATTATTCAAATTAAAAAAGATTAAAATTAACCCAATCATTGGGGGGGGGGGGGAACATTTGTGTGAAAGATGTTTAAATGAAATTCATGCATGGATTAATTATATTTTTGATAAATTAGTTTAACTCCACATAAATGCATAATTTAGTAAATAAAAGCAAATCACTTTGAAGTAATCTGAATAAAATTATTTATTTTTGAATTTTTAATTGACAGTTTAGTGATATTAATATATTCGATTTGAAATTTTAACTAACATTTTTAAAAATTATTTCATGAATGTAAATTTAAATTAAAATAATATCCAGAAATAACGCCGCTGGGGGGGGGGGGGTGGG